GTGAGCAGACGTGGCAGTCGAAATGCAGCCTGATGCAAGAGTTCGCGAGGTTGGGCGTCTAACTTGGTGAAATCATTGATCACAAAGGCCGCCAACACAGCAAGACACTTGTCACGGGCATGTGGGGCATGCAGCTGATGAGCGTCAAACTGAATCAGTGCATGAACTTGTCACGGGCATGTGGGGCATGCAGCTGATGAGCGTCAAACTGAATCAGATCATGAAGTTGCAGAACGAGCCCTGGACATCAGGGTGCCCAGGGTCGGGACAGACCTGAACGCCTGAGCCCTCGATCCGAAGCCCATCGGTCTCGAATTTGCTGTGTGGGATCAGAGCGTGGGGAAAGCCCAAGTGATTATTGAGATCTTGGTGCGCAGGGTGAAGGCATTAACTAAAACCACAATGGAGGTAAAGTCCAGTTGGGAAATGTATTCGTAACCAAACTCGCCAATACTCGAGATGAAACCGAAAAATGATTAAGGTTATGCCTTAGGCCGACTAAGCCACCGTGCACATAAGCACCGATAGCCCAACTGAACTCGCCAGGGAAGCGAGGTGATTCAGGTTGCAGAAAAGACACCAAGTCTAACACATCCCCAGCACGAAGAGTACTGCGGGAAAGCAAGGTTTGGGCGTACTGCACACAAGGGGGTATGCCGGGATTGCATGCATCAGCCAGGTCGCCTGTGGCTACAAGCGGTGGGGCCGTCTCAGACAAATGTGAGTCCGGCATCAAAATTGGTTCATAAGGCTGCGGAAGCCTTCACGCTCCCGGCGGCTGCATATTTGCGGATCGAATGCGGCTAGAAGCACCTTGCACACACATGTTGGTGGGGGCAATCGGTTCGCTTGCACTCCTTCAAGTTAAAAGCATAACAGATGCTTTTCTCTTCAGGTGTATTGGCATACGCCTTCAGGTCCACCAGCTCCTTGGGCATGGCTGGGGAACCCTTGGTACCTTTGCCCCGGCCTTTGCCCTTGGCTTGCTTCGTAGGAGGGTCGGAAGTGGAAGGCCGGGAGGGATGGCGCTTGCGCAGATTCTTAAAGGGGTTCTTACCCTGAGGAGTCTGGTGCATGAGGGCAACGGACACTTCATAGGATTCCAAACCTTGGTGAATTTCCTGTCGAGGGGATACTCACCTGCAGTTTTTCGCGCTGGCACATGGCCAAATCTTCAAGACAGAAGGCTCTTATGGTCGGAGTGCATGCACTGGCTGTTATACGGTGTCGGCTCGTTTATGAGCACGATTCCGAAGTACGTAGGGCTGGATAGATTGGTCTGGGATTCGTAAGTTTGTGAGCCGGCTGGGGGCTTCTCCAGGCAGGAACAAACCAACACGTCTTTTTCTGCGGACAACATGAGTCAAGCAAGTCGTGCCCGGCATGTCCAGCAACGCCTGGGAGGGTAGCAGAAGGTCGCGACTCCGGTCTTGTTGGCCTCAGGGACACGACGAGGTGCGAAGGACTGAAACTCGGACACCCCGGTCAATTAGCGAGCGACAACTAGCATCGGGGATGCAAACACAAGATGCTTGGCACAAGTTTGAACACTAAGAATGAATACCGCAGCATTGCAGGCAACACAATGGTAAAGCTGCTTTGTCAACGGACGTGCTGCTTAAGGTTTGCATGAGGGCCCATTAGCAACGCCTGGCCCGACCCCATCAGCCCCCCAAAAGGGTGCTTCGCATTCAATTAACGAGGACATGGCGAGCTAAAGGCTTCGGACGAACCAGGTCAAAACTCGTGAGAAATCTAGACAGCACTGGTAGGCAAAGTGATAACCTCAGCCTGAGCCCTAGAAAATTAGGAACGAAATGCGGCATGTTCAAGAGATCAACCCAGCACAGAAGTTGTTCCTCGGCCAAACTTGCAGGCACTCGCACTTCTGGATCCCATCGGCACAGCACATAGGAAACGAATGACTGCCGTAACAGAGAAATCGAGACTGCGCGTGAATGCAAAGAGGAACTTCAGACTGATCACTAGAATATTAGGAATGCGTGAGGCATGTGCAAGACATCGGCCCAACACCGATACTGTTCATTGGCCAAACTCGCAGACTCTGCATGTTTGAATCCCACTACAAAGCTCACCGAAAACGATCGAAAACTAAAACGCAGCAGATTCGCTGTTGCCGCATGAATGTCCCAATTTAAAAGAACAAAGAAGTGTGCATCACATATTTGAATCGAGTCGAAGACCGTCTAGGTCGTTGGCACTTCGCCCTTCGCCAAAAAGGCGGAATGCTGGCAATTAGCCGACCTCGCTTCCCATCCGCACGCAAGCGCGGCACCTTTGACAGCTCATGTGAGCTTGCATAACTTGAACACTGGCCGCAGAATGGCCACACAAGGCTATCTAGAAGCTTTCGACTTCCAGGTTTTGGGGTTGGTCAGCGGCGTTACACCTGTCGAAAGTGAGGAACAAAAGGGGATGATTTTGGTTCATACAAAAAGAAAACAACTGACATGACATGACACCGCATGCAACCGACATGTGTTGTGCAAAGACGAGCGCACTGCCGACTCATTTTCCACTCTTCATGCTCATATGCCAGGTATCAACCTGTAGGCCCCTTAGGCCGGACTGTGCCCTTCGGCACATTGCTCAGGTCGCCCTTGCGACTCGTGCACAAGTTGGGCGCACAATATGGCCTGTATGAGCTTTGAAAGCTTTCACTGCGACCGTAGGGACCCCGATCAGCCTGTGCCTTCCGTATAAAGGGAGCTCGCCAAGTTTTCGGAAACTCTTCTGGCATTGAAACCCTGAGATCTCAGGAAGGATTGCACCTTGGCGACGACCGTTTCACTAGTAAGCGACAAAGCCATGGCCCAATACGACGACATACGCCTGGGAGCCAACAGGCTCGCATTCTCCGTATCCGGGATGCAACAATTTGCATCCAGGATCACCAGCCTGACCGAATCACTTTGAAGGCCCAGACTGAGCTCCTGAAGAAGCGCCTGAGGCTTTGAGCGCGAATCTGAGAGCCCTCTGAAGCCCCATTGCCGGACCCCGAGGTCTCTGCACTTGACCTTGTGTTCAGTGGCCAAGCAAATTGCCTGCATGCTACGGAAAGCAACCAGCGCGGCGGCGCTTTTGGGCAAAATTCCAATAAAGTCTTCCAGCCTGGCAACCTGTTCCGACAGGAGGAAGAAAATATTACACGCCGAATGCGGCCTGAGGCATAACTCTATCGAACCACTGTCATACACCCTAGTAAAAACGGCGGGACATGCATGCGAAGCTTTCAGTTCGCAGACGCTGTCGGCCTCACTTTTAGCAATTTTCAATACCACCCGACAGTTATTTGGTGGCAAGTCTACTAGGTAGACTTTTCGGAAGCCTCCTTTGAAGTCGCTGGAAGGGCAGACAGCGTGCGTGCTTACCGTATCAGCATTGACCTTTAAGGCGACATCCACGATGTCGGGCAGGAGCTCCCGGGCACACTCGTCCGCTGACAGCGATTTCAGCTCAAGCTGGAGATCAGCAGCGATGCGTGCACGACCAGATCTCTCAAGCGGCGGTCTTTGGGCATCTGGTCTCTTGTTACCCCCAACACTGCGCCCAGCAAGGCAGTAACCACACAAGTCAAAGTCACACACCCGGCAACCCCACAGAAGCTTTCGGTTTCCGAACTCCTTTAGGCAGCTGGAGCACGTCCAGTTGGGACCTGGCGTCCCAAACCTGAATAGCGGGTGGCCAGAGTTGCACTCCGGTTTTTGGTCCAGCTTATTCAACAAGGCTTCGGCGGCATCTTGAGTGAGCACTGCAGAGCTGCTGTCCTCAGACGAGGATCCCAGGGCAGCTTGGCCCTCCGCTGGGTGGGCACGAAGATTACTGCCTACCTTCAAACTTGACACATGCGATGCAGGTGGCTTCTCTGTGGAAGCAGTAGAAGGGTGGCTTGGCTGCTGCTGGTCTTGGCGAGAAGATTCAACAAATGCGGACACAAAGGTTTTACCTCGCCTTGATCGGGGCGGCGTTGGCGGAGCGGCCCTCCCAGATGGAAGAAGCTTACCTTTACCTGATTTGGCACTGGGCTGATCATCAAGAGGAGAGGCCACTTCCTCGGCTGGGCAGGCGGAGGAAACCACCATGGTGTCGCGAGAGCCGCTGGCCCGAGGCTGCAAGCTACCACCCAACAAAGTCGTGGCATTCTCAGACCCTTCCTTAGGCAAAGGGTTTGCGTCGGCAGACACACTGCCCGAAGCTCCACTTTCTCCCAAGAAGGAGTTGCATCCACTTAGACTTTGGTCGGGCTTGCTTTCAACCAACCTTTTACCAGGCAGAGGGTTTACGGCACCAAATCCCCTAGTTAGGGTGACGGGGGGGATTATGGCAGGCTGCTTAGGACCAAGCGGGGTATTACTTGAAGCCTTAGCTGCAGGAGGAACACCACGCAGTTGAGAAGCGGCACGCGCAGACACTCTTCTCTGCCACGGGCTTGGAGCCCCTTCACTCATGGATGCCCCCCCCCTTTTATCCGTTGCAGAACTGGGGGTGCTTTCAGTAGTCATAGCGTTGCAACCACCATGCGACGATGCAGCGGGAGCAATAATGACAGTGGTGCCCCGTGCGTTTGCGAATGCACATGTAAGCCCCGCAGACCTGACACTGATGGGGGCAAACTCTCACATCCACCTCGTAATTGGTGAAGTCGGAATCATCGTCCGAGTCGAGCGGACGCTCGCGCCTCCGACACAGAAAGGAACCCATGGCAGAAGGCGGCACGGTGAAAGAGAAAAATTTTCTGCACCTAACTCATGGAAGATCAATGGCTCATTCCGCAAAGCTTCAAGTGCATATGGCAATGTCATGCTCAGCATAAACACGTGACTTCAGATGCCTTGAGATGGCGAGCGCGGGTTGCAAGAAGATGCACTATAGCACTACTTGGCGCTCACAATGACAGAAAATTTTCGGCAGCCCTTTCTTTCAAAAATCCAAGCCCGATTTTTTTCAAGAAAATTCAAGCTCAAGATATTAAGGGACTATCAGCGCACGCACTGACGGCCTCCGTAGCTCAAGAGGGAGTCGCCGATGCTGATGGCTGCCTTGTTGCGCAACAACGGCCATTTTGCGAGAGGAGCCTTGTGCATGAACTCCTCCAAACTGGCCTGCTCTTCGTCCGGAGTCGTGGGCACTGCGAAATACGGGGCGAGGAATCCGTGCCCGCCTTCTTCTTTCGGCAATTGATTGCTGGACACTGCAAAGAAGAGCTTGCCGTCTTTTTTCCATGTTGTCTGCAGAGGTGTCACCGAAGGCATCCCCGAAGTGTCGTCAAGGTTTTTGAAGATAATCTTGGATGTCACCGGCACGAGAACGAGCTTCCTTTTCGGAAATGTGCCGTGAGTGCCTTTGAAGGCTTCAGCTGCAAGCTCAACTTGCCTTGCAAACTGCTCGATCCAAACGTCTTCCACAGCCCCTGAAGCTCCTGCAACAATGCACCGACAAACACGTGGGCCTGCCAATCCAAACTCTCATCGGGGTTGAAGGGGGTAAGATCAGCGATCACGGAGGGCTGCGGCTTGGCAACGACCTTTGTCCACTCTTTGCTCATGAAGGATTGGAGGCTTGTTTTCACTGTGGCCGCAGTGGACTGGTTCTCCACTCGCACATAAGTCTTCTTCACACCACGGATGATGTACTCGTCTTTGTCATTCTTTCGCTTGATCGTGCAGCCCACCTCAAAGCCTGCCTCTCGCATAACCTCGTCAGAGTTACCATAGGCCCCATCGTCAAGCAACTCTCGCATGGCAACCGTGCTCGGCTGTGCTGTGGTCGCATCGCCGGATCTCGAAGGCGTCTCTTCGGCCTTGTCAGCCCACGGGTTCTCGAGTTCCTGGGTGCTGATTTTGCTGAGCAAAACCATACAGTCGTGAGCTATGCCCTGCAGGCTTTTGTAGCGCTTTTCCTGCGGCTGCACGACTGCCAAAATCTTTGCGGCAATGTTCACTTCCGTCATGCCGAGAATGTGCAGGGCATCGGAACTGTTGAGCGGGTCAAGGCCTGCAGAGTTCATTTTCTCACGCGTCTGTGAGAGCAACGAATCCGCCGCCTTCGCCTGCTCCAAACTTCGACCACACTTTCCGAAGATCGGTTGCAAACAGATCGTGGACTCCGGGCGAACTTTAGCAGACTACAGTGCCGGATTATCATGCTTCGCTTGCTCAATTGCATAGCTGCACAACAGCGTTGTTGTCGTTGTCTCTGAAACCTGCAGCAGCTCAAGCTGTCATGTTGCCTGCGTACAAAAAAAAGCGAAACTGTGAAAGATTGTAGCCTTCACAGCAATACTTGCTTGCTGGCATTTTGTCACAAACTGCGTTCAGAAAGTGTAAAAAAGCGGGGCCCAAAAATGGGCCCGGAATTCGGGCCCGTTTTTGGAGCGTTCTAGTATTGGCAGAATTAAGGAAGGCTCAGAAAACGGGCCCATTTTGGGGCCCGCATTTTGGTGCCGGAAAAACACTCTCAAGCTCGTTCTTGGAGTCACAAAATCTGACGCAGGTTGAGAAATACCGTCCACCAGTCATTCGCAAGATGCAGCTGGACAACTCCAAGGTGAAGCACCCAATTCCTGCTTCTCTTGAACACACATTCGATTTCAACGGTGAAATTGAAAACCCGCTGCATGTAGTCTAACTGTCTAACCAATTGCAGCTGCAACTAGGGAGGCCACCCCCCGCGGACCCCAAACCATACCCAGTTTTCGGACCCCAAAACAGGGGACACATTCCGGCTCAATGGGAAGCATGCCAGGCATGCTCCTTTGGCCTTGGGCTTTAGCCTTCGCTTTCGGCGGCATGGCACCTCAAAGGATAACCATGCCAGACAACGCCAACTCCAAAGGACAATATTGAGTGTCCGACCAAAGCTCTTGCACGTGCTTTCGTCAGGGCTTTCCGTACACTGCGGAGCTGTGCGGCTGCCACTCATTCAGCCATCCGAAACTCCGAAAGTTTCAACGGGAAACTGAAGATCGTAACGTGCTGGACGCCCTTCAATGTTGAAGGAAAGAAAGAGACTGAAAGTTCTGAAAGTGCGTCACGGCCCTCGGAAGCAAGATAGCCGAAGTCCAAGAAACTTCTACACGTCTACACGTTGAACGGCCGCGCGCACGTTATGTTTGCACTGGGGGGCGGCTGCAGAGAACTGGTCTCAAATCTCATATTGCAGCAATCGCAGATAATGTGAGCTCGTGATTTTTAAAGGCCCCCTCAATAGAGCTAAACTCGGCCCGGAACTCAATAATAAAAGGTCCCCTCAATAGAGCTAAACTCGGCCTGCACGTAATAATAAACACCCCTCAATAGTCCTAAAACCCGTCCCGGTGTAAAATTTTTATAAGGTTTAGGCAGAGAAGCACTCCTACTACAAAGTGACGCCCTGGAAGAGGAAAGACAGAAACAGGCAAGATAAAGGAGACAGTACTACTGTACTACTGTACTACTACTGTACTACTGTACTACTGTACTACTGTACTACTGTACTACTACTGAGAGCCCCGGGTCCCAAACAACTTCGACCCCGGTCCCCCAAACAACTAAAGATCAGAGAGGCGGACCCTCCGTTATTATTGGGGTTGAGGGGGGGGTTTAATAATCAGGAGACAACATTAGACACTCCGTGACTTGCGCATTCACTCACACGCTCACCCAAACCACTTCTTGACTCCCAAACTCCCTCACACACTCACTCCAACCGTGCATCCCCCGCAGTCCCTTGCGCAATATTGCCGACATTGCGCGAAGACAAAGTCGAAGGTTTCTTGGTGTCACTTTAGTGTGAAGACCGCACAGAGAAACGTCTGATGATGCTTTCACTTCCGGCTTCTATGCCTTAGAGCCCACCGTAAAGGTCTCTTGGTCCCATTTTGGGTGAAGACCACACAGAAACACGTCCGATGCTTTCACTTCCGGTTTGTAAGCCTCGGAGCTTACCAGAAAGGTCTCTTGGTCCCATTTTTTTTGGCGAAGACCATGCACGTCTGATGCTTTCCTTTCCGGTTTGTAAGCCTCGGAGCCCACCAGGAAGGTCTCTTGGTCTCAGTCTTGGGTGAAAACCACACAGTGATGCTTTCACTTCCGGTTTATTTGCCTCGGAGCCCAAAAACAATCTGCACGGCGGTCCCGGCTCGCTTCTGGTCCCAGGTGTTTGACAGCGAAATTGTGGTATTCTTTAGCACATCGTCCATCAAAGTTGCAGTATTTTCACAGGTCCAGCCCTGCTCTCGCAGCATCTTGCGTAGAAATCGCACTGTTTCCACAGTTCCAGGCTTGTGTTATAACGAAATCTGGCATTTTTCAGTAGTACGGGGCGCAATCATAACGTGCTTTAGGCGCGTTATGATTGATTTGGCAGGCATTTACAAGGGAAAACTCGAAATCGTAATGTGCTTTGTTTGACGCACGAAGCACGTTACGATTTTGACGTTTCCTTGGAAACTGCCAGCGAAAATGATCATAACGCGCCTAAAGCACGTTATGATTGTGCGCCGCGCTACTGTAAAAACGCTTAAAACCGTTCTGTTCTGTGTCTCCCGCTGTGGCGCAGTGCACATTTTCCAGTAGAAATAGCCTTTTTCCCACTCGCCTGGTGGTTCTATTGTTCGGAGAAACCGAATTCGCGATACAACACAATGTGGGCAGCACTCTGGACCTGAGCATAGGTTTTTGGAGTGTTCCGGAACCCAGGGTTCGAACTCCCGGGGGGCCCGGGGGGAGGGGGGGGGGGAGAACATATAACTCCGGAACTCAGGGTTGAACCCTGGGTTCGAACTTCTCGAACCCAGGTTGAACCTGGAGTTTGAACTCTATGTTCAAACCCTGGGTTCGGGAACTCTATGTTCGAACCCGGGGTTCGGGAACTCTGTGTTCGAACCCTGGGTTCGGGAACTCTATGTTCGAACCCGGGGTTTGGAGAACTCCACGTTCGACCCCCGGGTTCGGGAACTCCTCCCCCTTCCCAGAGAGTCCGAACTCTGGGTTCGGAACTCCATGCCCGAACCTGGGGTTTGGGGAACTCTATACCGGAACCCCGGGTTCCGGAACCCCCCCCCGTCCCCCAGGGAGTTCGAACCCTGGGTTCGGGAACTCTATGTTGGAACCCGGTGTTTGGGGAACTCTGTGTTGGAACCTCGGGTTCTGGAATTCGTCCCCCCCCTGGCGAGTTCGGGAACTCCACGTTTGGGGGGGGGCTGCGCCCCCCCCCAACCCCCCCGCTGTTTTTAGAAGCTTGCCGAAAACAAAGAAAAAGACTACCAATGACCAGTCCCTGCCACAAAAGAAGAAGAAGCCACACGAAACCACTTTATCGGGGGTTTTGGCGAAGAAATAAAAGAAAGACAAAACAAAGAAAAAGATTGTCAATGACGAGGAGTCTTTCTTCTCAAGGGGGCTTCAGAAGGACATGAAGTCTCCTACGAGAATGCTAAAGGCGCGAACAAATGAACCGCCCAACCCCAGGTTCTAGACTCCCCCCCAGAGTTCGGGGGTTCGAACAGAACACCAACAATCACCAAACAAAAGGAAAAGAAGCCACATAGAATCGCTTTGTGGGGGGTTTTGCGAATAAATTACTGAGAGCACACTACAATGAGAAACCACAAACTCAACCCTTAAGCACAAGCAAAAGAGAAGAAGACACACGAAATCGCTAATCGGGTTTTGCGAAAAAAAATAAAATGAGAGAACAAGAAGCAATGAGACAAGAGTTCGAACTCTGGGTTCGGAAACTCCATGTTCGAACTCTGGGTTCGGAAACTCAATGTTCGAACCTGGGGACTCAACTCTTGAGGACCGCCAGAGTTCGAACTCTGGGTTCGGAAACTCTATGTTCAAACCCTGGGTTCAAACTCTTCGTCTTTTCAGAGTTCAACTCCAGGTTCAACTCCAGTTCAAGAAGTTCGGAGTTGAGTTCAACTTGGAGTTCAACTCAAAGTTCGAACCCAGGGTTCGGAGGGAACTTCGATGTTCGAACCCTGGGTTCGAGTCTCCGAACTCTTAGTTCGGAGTTCCAGAACCCTGGGTTCGGAACTCTAAGTTCCAAACCTTGGGTTCGAACACCCCCCCAAAAACCTATGTTGCTGGACCTGCTGCGAAACGTCGAGAGCCCCAAAGCCGGACTGCTGGCGTGCTCGGCAAGCACCGCCTGGCTTGACAACCGGAAGCACGGCATAGAAAAAATAGGTTCACGAGCAAAAGCTTCGGGGCCACTTTTGGGACCTAAAACCTGCTCAAAAACGGCGCCTTTCAAAGTGGGCCTCCCCAGTATGACGGAGAATTTGTGTCCACGCTACATGTCTGCCCGCTTTATGGCTCGGACATGGATTTGGTGACTAAACTCACATCGGGGCTCCTATTGAAGTTTGCCAAAATATCTCTGAGTTGGGTTCAATGAAGATCCTTGCGCTGCAAGCTTCGCACATCGGAGTCTTTAATTTGGCATGAGTTAACAACATGTCCTTCAACCTGATTTGATCCATCTGTTTTCAATATTCCAGCGTCTGCGACTTGGAAGAAGCTTTGAAGCAACTTACTTGTAGTCCTCGATTGGCCGGGTTGAGCACCAATCGTTGACAGCAAACGGTTTCGCGATCGATCCTCGGCAGTTCATGCGACAATCCGTCCGAGATGACTACCGGTGTGAAAGTTCATGTTTAAGACATGTTACTTTGGTTGTCCTGCATGCCTGCTCAGGTGTGAGTCGTTTTAGCCGAAAGTTTTGCCTTGGAGGCTTGACTGACGAGCTTGCTTTCAGTGGAAAGCCTTTTGAAGTGCTTGAGAGTGTAGGGAAGTGTTTTTCCTTGGTGTAACTACGTTTGGAGTGACTGTGTAGCTGTAGTTCTGCTTGCGCTAGTTTTGAGTAGGTCCCGAGAACTCCCACTGACGTTTGAGTTTGTTTTGCAGTTGTGGAGAACACGTGGCTGAGCAGTGTTTCACTTGCAGTGCTATGGCACATGGAATATCTGTGGCCAGTTGCACAGACAAAGCCTCCGGCTGCTGACTTTGGCTCAAGCCGTGAGAAAAAGAGGGTTCAGCGCGCTGCTGCTGTGTTTTCACATGGTAGCGGAGCGTGTGTGGCACGCTCGTAGCTGTAGAGAAGCCATGGCTGACCCTGCCCAAAGTGCCGCGACCCCAGTGCCTGAGGAGGACGACTTTGAACTGTTTGGTCCGAGTCCTGGAGAGGCGAGTCAGCCGTCGAACCCAGGACCTCAGCCTGTCCCGACTGTTGGACCGCAGCAGGCACCGCAGCCAGTGCCACAGCAAGCACCGGTTCCACCTGCAGTGACGACGACAGTTGGTTTGGACCCACAGCTGCAGCAGTTGATGCTGAATATGATGCAGATGCAACAGCAGACGCTCCAGGTCATGATGGCTAGGATGGACGCAGATGAGAGAAGAAGGCGAGAAGCTGAGGCTGCCTCTGCAGCTGTAGCTGACCCCTTTGGTTCGACGGCTGCGGCTGGAAGTCCGTCAGCTAAAGCTACTGCTCCTCCACCTCCAGCGCCTGCTGGTCCGTCGGTGCACGTCGGAAGCAACAGAGCTGAGAAGTACCTCCCTGCTTTGCCCACCATCGACGTTTTATGGATGGGGAAAGGGCGTGTGAAAGAGCTGGAAGAGTACCACCGTTGGTGTGAAGTCTTGGCGTCATGGTTGGCGCTCATAGACGACAACTACGTCAACGAGTTGCGCCAAGCAATGGTGCACAACAGGGAGATCAAGCAGTCAGAGATGTCTGCTCCTGTGGCTTCGAGGTCTGCTCGGTTGTTTTACTACCTTCAACAGAGTTTGCAGAAGTTTGAGAGAGGCATGGAGCTTGTGAGAAGCACGTCCATGCGGCAAGCTCAAGCTGCTTGTGGGTACGAAGTCATGCGGCAAATGCATGCGACTTTCAGCATTGTCTCAAGAATGGAGGCAATTGCAGTGAGAGATGAGGCCCTGAAGTTGCCTGCCAGAGCCCGAACCTACAAGAGGCCACTTGATGTGGTCCGGTTCTTGGAGGATGAGCTGGGCAAAGTGGATCAGAAGCTCCATCGTTTTCCGGAGCTGAAGCCCGGCGGCTCGGATCGCCTAACCATTTTGCTTCAATCTGTCAACCCTGAGTGCCGGCATTACGTTGTTTTGCACGGCAAGTCTGGAACTTGGGAAGAGCTTGTGACGAGCATCCGGTTCTTTGAGGAACAGACCAGGCTTTGCGACGCTGGAGCCCTTCACGCTGTTGGTGACAAGGGTTTGTGTTGGAACTGCGGCAAGGCTGGTCACTACAGTTGGCAGTGTCCTGAACCACCGAAGGGTGGCAAAGGAAAAGGCAAAGACAAAGACAAAGGCAAGGGTGGAAAGCCCTCTGGTGGTGGCGGTCGAGGAGGCGAGCCCAAAGGAAAGGGCAAAGGCGACAAGAAGGGCGAGAAGGGCAAGGACAAAGGAAAGTGGGGAAAGCCAAAGGCGAAGCCGAAAGCGAAGTCCAAGGGACGCGCTGTTGAAGACGAGCCGTCGGAGCAAGTGATGGCCTTGAGATTTCATCGTCTCAGGGGCATGCGCCCAGGGAAAGCAGTGAAGAATGAGCCCAATGATGCTGAGCCCCCACGTCTCACCATGACGGATAAGGAAGTAGAGAAGCTGAACCAGTCCTCTTCGAGGAACAGTCACTTTGCGTGGCTTGTTGATAGTGGAGCCACGTGCCACGTGTTGTCTGTTGCTTCTTTGTCGTTTTACGAAGTCGTGAAGGAGCATTCGGGACCGCTGCCTGTCTTGATGAGTGCTAGCGACACCGAGATGGAATGCCTCGGGTTGGTCGATATCCGTGTGAAGTTTGGGAGGCTAGGGCCTGTAGTGCTTCAGAAGGTCCTGGTTTGTCAGATTGGTTTCAATGTGATCAGTTCTTGGCAGGCGTCGCTTTCGGGTTGGTGTTCTTGGTTCACTGCCACACCCGGAGAGAGTTGCTTGATGAAGCAGAATGGGAAGGGTTCCTGGGTTTGGGTTCCCTTAGAGACGGAAGCCAGGAGCTGGTGGGCAATGGCCCAGGAGATCGGCCCCGCGAGAGCTAAGGCGAAAGCGAAGTCCAAAGCAGGAGTGCCCAAAGGTACCCCACCGAAGTTTGGGAAAGAAGACGACGACACGGGAGATGCAATGGAAGTGGACCGCGCCAAGGAGAAGGCGCATCCGAACAAGCATCCGCAGAGAGCTTTGGAAGTGACTCCTTTCAAGTTCTTGTTGCGAGCCTTTTGCAGTGAGTTTTCGTGCGAGTGTGTTTCTGCAGCAGAAGTAGCAGCTGAGACTGAGGTAGTGCCTGCAGTTTGTTCTGAAGAGCCGTGTGCGGGTTGTGTGGTAGGTTCTGAAGTCTGTGTTTCGTCCGCAGCCATTTCGCTTAAGCAAGCAAGCACCACACACACCGAAGCATGCTGTAGGAGCGGTAGGAGTGCGAGTGCATGTGTGAGTGTAGAGCCTTTGCCGCCAACGCCTCAGAGTACTGTGAGAGCCTGTGGTTCGGAAGCTGCTTCAGTGAAGGTTTGCGCAGGGTTTTCGGAAACTGCCGGTAGGAGTGAGTGCGCAGGGTTTTCGGAGACTGCCTGTAGGAGTGAGTGTGCAGGGTTTTCGGAAGCTGCCTGTCGTCCGGAGTGTGCAAGTGCAGGTGCATTAGGGACACGTAAAAGCAAGCAGAAACGTATCTCTTCTGCCGCGGTTCTGTCTCGAGCCTTGCGGTGGGTGATTTTTCTCTATGGAGTCATCTCCGTTACGACGGGGACTGTGTGTCAAGAAGAGGGCCCTTTTGCTCCAGATGGGGCCGGAAGGGGTCGCTCAGGAGAAGGAGCCGGCCCAGATGATGGTTATGTCCGAGAGATGGCAAGATCTCAGAGCGATGCAGACAGCGGCATCCAGCAGGCGACAGCAGTTGGTGCAGAAGCTGCAGCTGAGTCGCAGCGTAGAGCAGAGGCGAGAGGCCGAAGAACTAGTGGCAATGAACAGATGCGATTCGAAGGAATTGCTCCACCGAGGATTTCACTCCCTAACTTCTCCGGCCTTGCCTTCTGGAGAACCTCCCGCTCCCACTCAGGAGGGCAACGAGGCCGACGATTGGGGGAAATGGAAGGCGGTGCCAGGCCCTCCTGCGAGCCCGCCTCCACCGGGGACGCCTGTGGTGCCGCCTGGACCCCCGGAGACGCCGCCCGAGACACCACCGGAGACTCCTCGGGAGAAGAAGAAGAAGGACAAGAAGAAGGAGAAGAAGAAAGGCTCCAAGGAGCGCCGTGCACGAGAAAAGGACCAGGTCGCCGAGGACAAGAAGGACCACAACGAGGGCGAGAGAGACAAGGCCGCCGAAGGAGTGGCTTTGCTGAGGGAGCAAGAGCTCAAGATGGCTGCCGCCAGCAAGAACTTGGCGGAGAAGGAGCGAGCGTCGGCAGCGGCGAAGGCAGCCGCCAATGTGGCTGTCGAGAAGTGGACGCCCCAACAGAGGGCACGCAAGGAGGCAGAGCTCCAAGCAGCCCTGCTTGCTCAGGAGCAAGCCGCTGCTACAGTTCGTTTGCTTACTTTGGAGTTACAACTTGGGGATGCCCTTGGTGCCCCCGAGAGTTCAGCGGCCCCCGAGGGAGCCGTAGAGTCTGGGACTCCTCCGGAGTTACCAGCCTGTCGTCTTCGAGTGTGGAAGCTATCACTCCTCCAGGAACGCCTCCGACAACGCCGGTGTCGCCCGGATCTGCGGTTCCAAAGACACCCCAACGATCACCTTTGGTGAAAGCGATGCCCAAGGTTCCGGAGAGCCCTGCTTCTCAAGCTGCTGTGAGCCTTGTTGCTCCAGCTGCTGCGGGGCCTGTTGCTCAAGCTGCTGCGAGGCCTGCGGTTCGAGTTGCTTTGAGGCCGGCGGTCCGAGCTGTTCAAGTGAAGGCGATGCCCAAGGTGGGGCAGGTGCCGGATGTTGGGCACATGGGACCTCCAGCGCCGCCGATGGTTGGGCCAATGGGCCCTGTACCACAAGCACCGCAGGTTGTTGGGAAGATGCACATGTTCCCGCCGGCGCCGCCCTTCTTGGGGTACATGGGACCAGTGCCTCCAGCACCACCGCCAGGATACCGAGGCATTTTCAATCCGTGGTCCACCGGGCCGTTGCGCCAGGTGTTTGGAGCTGTGGGCCAGCATGTGACGCCCATCACTCCGAGTGTGTCGGTTGTGCCTCAAACTCCACCGCCCCGCCCTACAGTGAGACCTTCAGCCAGGCCGTCAAAAGCACCACGGCCAACAGCAAGGGCAACTCTAGCCCCTACGCCAAAGAAGAGAGATCGATCACCTTCGATCTGAGGCGGTGTGTTTCTTCTGAGGTTTTGGCCTCAACCTTAGGTTCGAGGCCCGTCATCCTCAAAGTGAGCTCTTCGGTGTCTTCCCCGAAAAAAGTGCAAGAGTGCGGTGCCAAAGTGGTAGGCAGTCTAGAGTGCAGTGCCGAAGCTGTAGAACGTCTAGAGTGCAGTGCCGAAGCGGTAGGTTGTCGTGAGTGCAGTGCTGTAGGAGAAGGTAACCTCGAGTGTGGTGCGGTAGGTGCGTGTTGCTTGAGTGTTCCCGAAGCTACGCCCTACCCGAATGGATCCACAAAGTGTCTCGCTCTGCCCAGGTGTTCCTTAGAAAGATCGTGTGCCGCAGCCTTGTTCAGGGTTATTTCAAAGGTTGCGGGGTTTCGCTTTTGCGTGCTGCTGGCAGTCTGTGCTGTAGCTGTGGTAGTGCGTCGAAGCGGGGGTCGTAGGAAGCTGCGGTTCGGAAGCCGGAGACACAAGTGGGTGCGAGTAACTTTGAAAGGTCGGAATCCCCGTCGGTGTTTCCCTTGGAGAGTCCAACGGCCGATGATGAGAAGGTTGTTGTGCTTGGTCCGCAAAGTGCGTAAGAAAGTTGCTGCCTTGCGTGGGCAGCACAATGAAGAAGCACCGCGGATTCCTGAGGCCCCACATGTTGTGCTTGAGGATGTTGTGTCCGAGTGTGTTGTGCATAGGGCGCGTATGCTTGCAGGCCTGCCGGTTGAGATCACTGTTGATTCTGAAGAAGAGTTGTTGCCAGACCCCGACCCGAAGCCTCAACCTCCCGGCCCTCCTGACCCCGAACCTCGTCCCGAGCCGTCTGGTTCAGGTTTGTCTCCTCCTGAAGACCTTGAGGTTCCAGTATACATTACTTCAGAGCGTTTGCGAGCGCACCGGAACAAAGGGCATCAGCCCTATCTGAGTTTCTGTGATGTGTGCCAGTCGGCACGTGGTCGTGTGCCAGCACGACGCAAGAACATGAAGAGCCACTATGCGCCGGGAGAGCTTCAAGTAGATTTTGGCTTCTTCGGTCGAAATGTTCGGTTTCTGTTGATCGTTCACGTCCTGTCGGGATACTTGAGTACTGTTGTTTTGGGTCCTGAGGACCCGGTGCCTGTACCAGCCGTTTGCAAGGCTCTTTCTGAGATGGGCCTCAACGGGCTGGACATTGTGGTCCACGGTGACCAAGAAAACCTCCTGGAGAGTGTGTTCCGGGATTCTGCGAAGCATAGGACGTTTGTAGGACAGTCCATGCATTGGGTTCCGTTTGCCGTGAACAGGCCCCAGGCAAAAGGCATTGTTGAGCGTAACGTTTGCCTCGTGAAAGAAGCGTTTTGGTCTGTTTGGCTAGGACTGGAAGAGCGTGTAGGAGGGCAGCTGCCGTTAGGGAGCTACTTGTTTATTGAAGCCATGCGGTATGCTGTTAGGATGCATAACTTGTTTCATGTGTCCAAGGAGCAAAGCACGCCTCTGGAACGCCTCAGGGGCTCTACAGTCCAAGCTGTGAAGAGTTGTGAGTTTGGGGTGGTAGGCTTTGGAAAGCCACAAAAGGACTATCCGGAGCATCGAGGAAAGCGCCTAGTGAGGGCGATTTACGTTGGGCCCCATGGCGCCAACGGCTCTGGGATACGTGTCTTTGTTCCCTTAGGAGATGGGAAGCCGCCTCGTTTGGAGATTTTCAGCTCGTTTCGTGCCCGGGACCCGGTAGAGTTTGACAAAGCAGTGCTAGACCAACTGAAAGGAAACCGGGAGGACCCCGAGCGACCCATCAAGTTTGATGTGCCTCTGGATGCACCTCAGCCTCCTCCTGACCCTCCGGCGTTGCCTGATGGTAGTCTAGAGTTCCCTGTGGGACAAGCAGAAGAGCCTGGAGCTCCTGATGCGATGGAGGATGAGGATCTAGCAGATTATTCCCCCTCTCTTCCTGCTGATGGTGAAGGGATGGATGTCGAACCTCCTCCTGGTGGTGTCCTTGATGAGGATGATGTTGAGATGGGTGATGGTGAAGATAATATCATGGATGATGGCCTGACCTGGCTGTACGAGTATGGTCTTCGCCAGCTCTATGAAGGACCTGACCTTCGTGTGACGCAGAAGCTGAGGAGGGGAGATAATCCCGCTGAGTGGTTCAGTATGAAGTTTGGAGGTAGAAAAATCTGGGTACATGTCCCAGATAACGCGGTGTGTGAAGTTTCAGGGAAGGTTCTCGCTAGGAAGCATCTTGAAGAAGGGATGAAGCTTGAGCTGTCGGAGTTAGATGCCTTTGGTGTGGCAACCGTGATTGGAGAAGCTGAGGCCCGGAAGAAGGCCGTGCGAAGAATCCACACCACTCGTTGGGTTCTAACTTCCAAACCCTCTGTGACAAACCCTGACCGTGTGAGAGCGCGTTTGGTTGTGCGTGACTACGCGCTTGGCTCCAGCCCTCTGGCTGACGGGATATATTCCCCTACGACCTCCTTGGAAGCTTTGCGAGGTGTCCTTGCTGTGCACGCGGTTCGTGGAGGAACGCTGTTGTCTGCCGATGTTTCGGTAGCCTTCATGCAGGCGCCTGTCCAAGGTGTTGAGTGCATCCGTTTTCCGAACGGGATGTATGACGATCAGGGCAATCCGCTTTTTGCTCAGTTACACAAAGCCATGAATGGCTTGCGGGTTGGGCCGTTGAGTTGGTACTTGGAGTTCACCAACACGTTGCGTGGGCAGTTTGGGTTTGGAGAAACTGCGGACCCTACTGTGCACCACCGTCTCGAGAAGGACGGTTCTTTGACCTTGGTGCTGGTGTATGTTGATGACTTGATCATCTTCTCCCAGAACTCAAAGATTGCAAAGGAGCTGTATGCTCAGTTGGCCAAGATTTACAAAATGAAGCAGACTGGGATCTTGGAGCCTGGAAAGAAAGGGCAACTTGAGTTTCTAGGAAGAATTATCGTCCGTGTGACGGACGCTGGACCTGTGTTGTTCGGCTTGAAACCGGGCTACTTGAAGTCGCTTGGTGAAGAGTTTGGGATCAGCGGAAAAGGTGTGAAGCCTGTTTTGGGAAACCTTGAGAGGGAGTACCGGAAGAAGGAACCTGGAGGTTCAATAAGCACTGAGTCGTACGAAAGGTATCGACGTGTGCTTGGGAAGCTCATGTGGGCCAGTCTCACGCTTCCTCACCTAGCTTATCCTGTTGGGTTTCTAGGTCGTTTTCAGAGTGATCCTGACAGCCAAGCCGAAGCCTGTTTAAGAAGAGTTGTGCGTTGGGTGATGGCGTTGCCTGAGTACCTTCAGCGCTTCTCTGCGTTTGGCTGGGTCGACCAGAGTTTTGAGTCGGAGACCTTGCTTTCGGGGTATGTGGATGCCTCGTGGAACGTGTGTTCAGTGTCTGGTGCCATTGTCCTTTGGCATGGCATGATGATCAAGTGCTTCTCAAGGAAGCAGTCAGTGACTGCCTTAAGCTCAGCTGAAGCAGAGCTGGCCGCGCTTACTGAAGCTGCCAAGGAAGCTGTGTACCTGTCCCTGCTGTTGGAAACGCTCCTTCAAGGCCTGCCTGCCGGTGACACGGGATCGTATCCCATTTACCTGTCGTCTGACAGTGAAGCGGCATTGTCTATTTCGAAGATGAAAGGCCTGCTGCGTCGAGTGCGGCATTTGGAGCTGAGGCATCGGTACTTGCAAGAGCTTGTTCAAAGTGAGAGACTGCGTCTCACATTCATCCAAGGATGCCTGAATCCGAGCGACGGACTCACAAAGAGTCCTGAAGAAGCTATGCTCCAGCATCTGCTGGAGGCTTGTGGACTTGAGCGGATCTGTGAGGAAGACTTGCAGACACTGTGTGTACCTGAACAACTTCGAGAGAGGGTGGAGGAACTTGAGAACCTCAACGAGAAGCTTGAAGAGCTTCCGGAGAACTTACTGAAGTATCGTCCGGTAGCCGTTGATTTGGCTATGGGGGTTGTTCCTTTGCTTGTGGTTGAGCTGTTCTGTGCCCGTGACAGTGCGTTGTGTGCAGCGTGCAAGCGTGAGAGCGTTGCTTACATTGGCATCACTCAGGAAGAAGACTTCTTGAGTAAGAACACACAGTTGTTTTTAGGAGAAGTTCTGCTCTGTCTGTTGAAACGAAATCCGCCCAAGATCTACATCCATGTAGCGTCGCCGTGTACTGCAGGTTGTAGTTTTCGGTTTAAGAACTGGCACAAACCGAAGTTTCGCCATCGCTGGCGTGAGCAGATGAAGAAGCATGTTGCTTCGTGGAAAACGCTAGGAAAGCTGTTGCAGAACCACTGCCAGGACGTCCTGCTGACTCAGGAGTGGCCAAAGACCTGTGGACTTTGGAAGGAAGAAACGTACCAAAGAGTGAAGAAGTCCCTTGGCCTATCCTTTGGACGAGAAGTAGACCGATGTGCTTTTGATTTGGTCTATAAGAGATGGTGGTTTGCCTGCAACTGTTCGGAGTGGTGTGAAATCTTCTCCGGGAAATCTTGTGACAAGAATCATGTGCATGTTGCTCCTGAAAGTCTTGAGGCAACCGGTTACTACCCCACCAAGCTAGGTAGGGCTCTTTTGCGTGCTGCTAAGCGAGTCTTGAAAGTAGCCGTAGAAGGGACTGCCGTGCGGACGTGTGCCGAGGATGACGAACAGAGCACTTAGCCTAAAGAGCTGTGCTTACACTGTTGCGCTGAGGCATTACAGTCCAAGCGGGGGTGTGAAAGTTCATGTTTAAGACATGTTACTTTGGTTGTCCTGCATGCCTGCTCAGGTGTGAGTCGTTTTAGCTGAAAGTTTTGCCTTGGAGGCTTGACTGACGAGCTTGCTTTCAGTGGAAAGCCTTTTGAAGTGCTTGAGAGTGTAGGGAAGTGTTTTTCCTTGGTGTAACTACGTTTGGAGTGACTGTGTAGCTGTAGTTCTGCTTGCGCTAGTTTTGAGTAGGTCCCGAGAACTCCCACTGACGTTTGAGTTTGTTTTGCAGTTGTGGAGAACACGTGGCTGAGCAGTGTTTCACTTGCAGTGCTATGGCACATGGAATATCTGTGGCCAGTTGCACAGACAAAGCCTCCGGCTGCTGACTTTGGCTCAAGCCGTGAGAAAAAGAGGGTTCAGCGCGCTGCTGCTGTGTTTTCACAACCGGAGCCTTGGACGAGATTCTCGTTGAAGCGACGGACGGATGCATCCGTAAGCTCCACAGCTAGGGCGGTCGCAAACAAATCTGACAGACAACATGTTCTCTCACAACTCCAAGCAGTCGCCTGCGATAATTCCGGCGCCATTGCAGTTTATCGGATGCACTTCCACGTGCATGGAGCTGAGCTTCAACGGCTTGGCGCATGCTGTCTATCTGGGCGATGAGATCGAGCGAAAGCACCGACATCACCGCCAACCTCGAGGTTGAGACCTGCAAGTCTTGAAATCTCGACTTTGCGAGATATGCGGTGAGTTGATTTTCAATCCTATAATGGTGCCTCTGTGTCTCGCCAAGGTCAGGAACACTTTCTGTTTTCTCCTTTGTGAGTTTTAGAGAACCTTAGGTGTAGTTGTGAACGGTAGGAGTAGGGAAAAGTTGTCTGTCTGTTGGTCGCTGCGCTCACGCTTCCTGTCTCACCTTGCGGTGAAAGTGATCATTACCAGAAGCGTGTCCAACCGGAGTTTTCCTCACGAGTTTTCACGAAGAACGGTGTTTCCCTGAAGCATGATGAACATCAGAGTGTTTTCAGTTTGTTTGCTGTGAGAACGGACTTCTAGACGAAGTCCGGGGAACACCTGGGCCATGAACAGAGTTACCAGTGCAGAGAAGCCGTTAGGAGTCCTTAGGACTTACCTCGGAAGTGAGTGTGCTGAAGTCTCTGTCCGCGCCCCGTTTCACTTTGGCTCAAGACTTGCACTGCGTGACAAGCGCGTGGTGAACAGTTGGTTGCGACGAAAGGTGTAAAAGTGCTGTTAGCTTTCACTGCTGTAGCCTTGCGTGACGTAGTCAGTCAGTCGGCTTGCACCTCCTTTTACTAAACCTAGAAGTGTGCCTCAAGGCGCGTTTGGGTTTTAACGTGGTAGCGGAGCTCAAGGTTGCTCCTCAGAGCCATGGACCCACGAGCCGAGCCTTGTTCCCCAAGAGGACGGAGTTCAGGGCGAAGTGCTAGTCGTGCCAGTGGAGTTTCTTCTGGCTTTCCCTCAACCCCTCGAGAGTTGAGTGCACCTGGCTCGCGGACTCGTGGAAGGTCCCTCCCTGCTCGGAACAGTCCGACAGCACACCGGCCTGTGAGTAGACCCAGACCTCTTGTGAGTGCAGGTCAAGTGCCTCAGGTGCCTTTTCCACAGGTGCCTCAACAGGTTCCTTTGCAGCAGGGTTTTCAGCAGCAGCAGCAGCCTCAGTTTGGAACGCAACCGACTTTCCCTCACGGAGGAGGGAATCCGCAGCAGGCAACTGTGCCTAGTCCAGAAGACAACACTGTCAACCTTTTCAGGCAGATGTTGCAAGCCCAGGATGAACAGATCCGAGCTCAGCAGGGCCAGATTTCGCAGCTCACCGAGATGGTGAAGACGCTCGCCGTTGCGAGTGCGAATGCTGCAAGTTCGGCCGCAAGTGCAGCACCCGTTGCTGCGAGTTCGTCCCAAGAGACGCCTGCTGCAGCTCTGGGCTCCTTCAGAGTTGACTCTGATGGTGTTGTGAAGATGGATGTGGACACAGGCTTGCGCAGCAACAGGGCGGAAAACTACATTCCGTCCCTGCCAAAGTTGGCAGCAGACAAGATGAGATCGCGCCATGAGGAAATCTCCACGTGGACCGCTTACCGCGAAGAACTGACCTCCTGGCTGTGTCTTTTAGACGACCGCTACGCGGAGGAACTGCAAGAGGCTGTGGAGAGCGGTGTTCAGGTTCAGCAGATCAGCCTCTCAAAGGGGAAGGCCGCTCGTTCCACTAAGCTGTGGTACCTCTTGAAGCAGGCTCTCGCTGGTTTTCAGCGAGGAGTTGACATAGCCAAGCTTGTCGAGTTGAGTCAAGGCGGTGCCGCTGCAGGGTACGACCTCTGGCGTGAGTTGAACAAAGAACTGTCTGTTAGGTCTCGTGTGGAGGGACAGGCGCTCAGAGAGCAGGCTCTCTTGATCGCGCCACCAAAGCACTTGAGACGGCCATTGGATATTTTTCGCCATATGATTTCTGATTTTGCTCGCTACCGCACGCTCGTTGCCAACAAGTACCCAGACCTTGAACTGCAGCAGGCTGATGTTATCAGCTGCATCTTGAAGCACCTTCATGATGATTGCAAGAAGTACCTTTTGTTGCATGGGTCTTTGACAACGTTGGAGCAGCTTGAGCGCGGTTTGGTTTTCTACGATGAGCAGCTTCGTGTTTTGAACTTTCACAAGGAAGCCTCGAACGCCAAGGGCTTTGCAGCTTTTGGTGGTGACCGTTCTGAAAAGGGTGAGCCCAAGGGTGGCGAGCCCAAAGGAAAAGGTCACGGGAAGGACCAAGGCAAGCATGGTGATAAAGGCAAAGGCAAGGACAAAGGAGGAAAGGGAAAGGACAAAGGCAAGGGTGGCAAGAAGGGCGGAAGGGCCCGATCTTCGACGCCGGCTCCTGGGAAGAGGAAGCCGGGCACTTGCAATTACTGCCACAAGCCGGGCCATTGGGCCAACGAGTGCCGGAAGAGGATTGCCGATGAGAAGGCTGCTGCGACAGCAGCGGCGGCAACAGAGAGTGCCGCTCCCAAGGTGGCCCCTCCTGCACCTCCCTCGACTGCTGCGCCAGCTCCCACTGCTCCAAAGGGTGCCGGGAAGATTGGCAAAGCGGCCCTCCTTATGTCGTCAGTGTTGCCCGCGGCAGGGCAGATTTCTGAAGCAATGCCTGAGAGGGGACAGTTTTTCACCATGACTGCCTTGATTTTCACGTTTTTCATGTTTTGCATGGTAGGATGCTTGATTTGTCGGTTGGTTGCATGCTTGAGTAGCCCACGGCAGTCATGTTTCACGTATGCTTGCGTAGCCGTAGCAGTGATTGCTTTGAGCCTTGCTTCCGCGCCGCAGCCTCAGCTTCGGGATCGGTCTTCAGAGTGCCTTGCTTTTCCAACCTTGGCACTTCCTGCAGTCACTAGGGACGACCCCTCGTATCTTTTGATTGATAGCGGTGGGAGTGTTCACCTTGTTTCGCAAGACATGCTTGGAGTGACTGCGAAGCTGATCCGAGAGCTTGAGGTTGAGCCTCTCTTTGTAAGTGTCGCCAACGACCAGACTATGGAGATAACTAGGTATGGGTTACTAGAGCTTTGGTTCCCTTGTTTCGAAGCGGGGCCCTCTGGAACCCAAGCTTACAGAGAGATTCGAGTGCAGCTGGAAGCGTATATTGCCCCCAATTCGATAAGCATCCTTCGCTCAGGCATCTTGCAGTCTTTAGGCTTTAGGATCTTTCATTATGACTATGATCCTCAGTTACATGTTGCCTATCCTCCGGGTGGTCTGCGCTTTGAGACAGAATTGTATGCCAACACGTCGTGGCTGAAAGCTTGTACCTACGTTGAGCCTGATTCTACTGATGGTTCCGTGCAGTCGGTTGAGAAGGGAAGCGTGAGTTCTGTTGTCCCGTCTCACCCTGTAGGTGTAGGAGTAGGGCTTGAAACCGTAGGAGCGCGTGTTGGTCGGTCGGTCGCTTCGTCTCACCTAGCCCACTCTTGCTCTGAAGGCCCAGTAGAACCTGTAAGGGACGATGGCTGGGTCCGACCACGAGATGGACCAGGACATGGAGGACTCGACCTTCCGGGTTCAAAGGTTGCCGGCGGAGCAGACGGAGCTCTCCAACGACGTGGCGCTGCCGACTCCGGTCTCTTCCCCGGAATTGTCTCCTCACCTCACAGAGCCGGACTTGCCGACAGCAGAGGTGGAAGAGAGTCCGCCGATGAGTTTTGCGAGCCTTTTCGAAAGCAGCCCGGTGGAGCCGCCGAGTCCGTTGATTCTGCCAGGATCGGAGACTTCTCCCCGCGGCCCTCTTGCCAGGACGAAGAGACTTCTCCCCGCGGCGCTCTTACGAAGGCTGGTGCCAAGGCACTGGCCAGGCAAGACTCTCCAGACAGCCCGGTCGTGACTACTCCTGTGTACGCATGGCGTGGGAGAGTGGCTTCTCTCAAGCCACCCATGCCAGAGCCGGATACAACTCCTATGCCTCCCGTGCCGGAGCCGAGCGGTCCCTATGAGCGTGGAAGCACAGGAGGAGGAGACGGACGAGGACGAGTGTTGGGGCAACTGGAGACCAACGTCGAGCACCACAGCCTCCAACATTGCTCCTGGCTCGGGTGCGCCCGCAGCCAGCTCCCAGGGCGCCGTTATGCAGGAGAAGATTGCGGATCTAGCCCAGTTCAGGCAGCGAGCCAGCG